TACTATGAATTCAATTTTGAGTGTACAATTCAATCATTTTTTAGTCTATTCACTGAATTATGCAACCATCACCAGTATCTAATTTCAAAACTTTCTATTTTTAAGACTTTCTTCTAAGCATTTTCTTCTAATATCTCTGAAACAACATTATGCTTCATTTATTTTTTAAAAGAAGATCTGTGTTCTGAAATTGCCCCTGTAGATGATTGGCAGTCACATGGTTTAAGGGGAGAGGAGTCTTGTCTTGATAATAGGTGTTGGTGCCACCCCTTTTAGTGTCATGATTAACTCTTTGTTACTCAGTGTTTACAAAGAGAGAGCTAATCAGTTTTTTAAACGTAGGTAATGTCTCCTTGAGCTTTCCTGGTGGCTCAGATGGTAAAGCATCTGCCTGCGATGTGGGAGACCTGGTTCGACTCCCGGGTTGGGAAGATCTCCCGTGTCTCCTAGACAAGAAAAAAATAAAAGGATTATTTGAATATGCCATTTTTAAAAATAATAAGCAGTGAATATTTGTAATTTCAGAAGGCCCAACACAATGAAACTTGCATGAAATTTTCATGCTCATCCCACCGACTTTGCAAAACTTTGAAAGAAAATCCTATAGTTTAGGGTTTTTAAAAGTAAAGTAACTTGCTCTTGCTTGACCCAAAAAGTTATAATAGTGTGGGTTTTTTTTGGTGATTATATGAAAAGAGTTAAAATTATTCTCAATCTCAAACTTTATTCTTTCATTTAATCTCAAATTTACTAAGTACCTATTATCTGCCAAGAAAGGTAGTGGGGAGGAAGATATAGTCTCAACTGTAAGGAATACATATTTTTGCTGAAACTTTTTCTACCCTCTTTATTAATTTACTACTTTATAGCTTTGCAAAGTGTTTGCATTTCCATCTTCAGCAAATTTATTAACTGATTAATTCTTGGTCTCTATATTTTTGGTGGTAGTTTAGTCGCTAAGTCAAGTCTGACTCTTTTGACCCTATGAACTGTAGCCCACCAGGCTCCTCTGTCCACGGGATTCTCCAGGCAAGAATACTGGAGTGGGTTGCCATTTTCTTATCCAGGGGATCTTCCCGACCCAGGGATTGAACCTGTGTCTCCTTCATTGGCAGGTGAGTTCTTTACCACTGAGCCACCGGGGAAGCCTCTATTTCTCTACATGTAGGCCAAGTCCTCCTTTCCTCCTTACAAAAAAACTTCCGTTACACAGAGGACCTCTTCCCCCCTAGGTTCCCAAGTTTACTGAGTGGACGCGACCTCCTGTCAATGTCGCAATGTTTCTACATTGCTAACAGATGTCATTTGTGGTTTTCGCAAGAGTAATTACTACCTGACTCAATCAAAATCACCAATAATGTAGAAGACACATACAAGTAATTTGTACACACTTCTAGTATATTGGTTATTTCCAGTATACTTTAAATATTGCATTGGCCTTTCAGATATCTAGTGGATTTTATCAGTCCTGAATTAAGCTGAAGTATACTCCTGGACTATTGACTTGGGGTGGAGAACTACATGTATCTTTGTTAATTGTCCTCCCGGTACTGCTCCCAAGTACAAAAATATGAATAAAATGCTAGGAACTTTCTATCATCAGGTTTATACTTGGAAGGTCATGATGCTCAGGAAGTAATAGGAAGCTAATCAAGGATAACTGTTAATTTTGTTCAGAACAGAGAGATGACAGAAGTTGTGAATGTTAGAGAACATTTCATCCCATTATTTCATTTTACAAATCAGGAAATGGCATTATAGAAAACTCAAATAAATGACTAGTTCAAAGTTACCTATTAATTAAAAATCCAAAATTCAAGCCCGTTGATTCAAATTCCCAGCACAATGTTCTTTCTAGTAGAGCTTTTTCCATTTTATATGGGAAAGGGATTAAATTTATATTCTATTTCTCACATGAACTTCCTTTTAAATCCAAGAGCTACTTATTCAATTGTCTTTTCTCTTTCCTGACCTGCCACTATTTTTCTTAAACTCAATTAGGGTTGGATGATCTACACTAGTGGTCCTCAGGCTTGAGCATATATTAGAATCTTCTGGTTAAAACAGATTCCTGGGTTCAACCCTGAGTTCTTTAAAAAAATTTTTTAATATTTATTTACTTTCGTCTGTGCTGGGGTTTTGCTGCTGTGCATGGGCTTTCTTTAGTTGTAGAGAGTGGGGGCTTCTCTTACTGCGGCTTTAGAGTGCATCGGCTCAGTAGCCGTGGCCCACGAGCTTAGTTCCTGAGACCTCTTCCTGGAGTAGGGATCGAACCTGTGTTCCTTACCTTGGCAGGTATATTCTTAACCCCTGGGCCACTAGAGAAGTCCCAATTCTGAGCTTCTGATTAAGCAAGTCGGATTTGTCGAGTGTGAGAATTTGCATTTCTAAGGTGTTTCCAGGTGACGCTAATGTTGCTGGTTGGGCATCACACTTCAAGAAAAACAAACCTACATGAAGCAGGCTTGACAGTTCCTCTAAGGATTGTTAGAGAGTTTCTAACTCTTGTTGATCACTCCTTTGACCTCTAAAGGTATATTTAAATTATTAAAACACTCTATCCAGAACCTCAGTTGCTCTCTGGTCTCCCAGCATTGGCTTCCACTTCAAGATTGATGTGAAAATGACTGTGTCTTTGAAGATGGCTAGTGAGTAAGTCTGGAATAAGAAAGTAGCTATTTAGCACTTCTGATTAGCACTCAGAGCTCCCAAGACTAGCTCCTGACTAATGCATCCTTTTCTTTCCCTCAACAAATTAATGTTAACATTGCAGATGATAAAAAGATACCTGTAAAAAATATGTCCCATGAACCTCCTTACACCTTCAATCCTTAAAGAAGGAGAGAATTAAAATAGCACTGTAGTAGTCAGGGTTCTTAGTTACAGAAATAGAATTGAGGTTAGCCAGTATAAACAGAAAGAGATTTAATATGCGGTGTCAGGTAGCCTACAGAATGTGAGTTGGCTGAGAAGAAGCGAGTCCCATACGGAATCCTTAGGGGAACGTGGGGTTCAGCTTTCCAGTCTTTCCTCCACAGGAAGACATGCTAGAAGGAGACTGGGGTGGTTTTTGAGTGAACCACACTGCAGCATTTGCTACAATTACCATGACTAAGCTTTATTCTCAGGTTAGATGCTGATAAAATATCAGATCTTGCTTTTACATGCTCACATAACTATTTATGATTTAGCCTAGTGTTACAGAAGAGATTGCAGGCAACTGACAAAGTGAAATTTTTGTAAATAATTCTGCTGGTACACTGGCAGAAAGGTTAGGGATTTCTGGTCCTTGAGTTTCAGGGATTTCAGGGTTCACAAAGATCTTTTATCTGAAGAAACACATTTCGAAAGAAAATCTGGTGGCTGTTACAACCCAATACTGATTACTTTGTTGGCTTATATTTTATACAATATCTATAGTTTATACTAGGTTTCTGTACTGTGAAAGTATTTTTTTTTCTTTTCATTTATTTTTATTAGTTGGAGGCTAATTACTTCACAACATTTCAGTGGGTTTTGTCATACATTGACATGAATCAGCCATGGAGTTACATGTATTCCCCATCCCGATCCCCCCTCCCACCTCCCTCTCCACCCGATTCCTCTGGGTCTTCCCAGTGCACCAGGCCCAAGCACTTGTCTCATGCATCTCACCTGGGCTGGTGATCTGTTTCACTATAGATAATATACATGCTGTTCTTTCAAAACATCCCACACTCGCCTTCTCCCACAGAGTCCAAAAGTCTGTTCTATACATCTGTGTCTCTTTTTCTGTTTTGCATATAGGGTTATCATTACCATCTTTCTAAATTCCATATATATGTGTTAGTATGCTGTAATGTTCTTCATCTTTCTGGCTTACTTCACTCTGTATAATGGGCTCCAGTTTCATCCATCTCATTAGAACTGATTCAAATGAATTCTTTTTAATGGCTGAGTAATATTCCATGGTGTATATGTACCACGGCTTCCTTATCCATTCATCTGCTGATGGGCATCTAGGTTGCTTCCATGTCCTGGCTATTATAAACAGTGCTGCGATGAACACTGGGGTGCACGTGTCTCTTTCAGATCTGGTTTCCTCAGTGTGTATGCCCAGAAGTGGTATTGCTGGGTCATATGGCAGTTCTATTTCCAGTTTTTTAAGAAATCTCCACACTGTTTTCCATAGTGGCTATACTAGTTTACATTCCCACCAACAGTGTAAGAGGGTTCCCTTTTCTCCACACCCTCTCTAGCATTGACATTTTTTGAAAGCATATTGGCTATAGTATGTTAAGGATAGGGGGATAAGGATTCATTCTACCAATATTTTACAGGATATATTAGATGAAAAACATAATTGGCCTTAGTAATCAGCAGGTGTTATGAACTATGAAATTTGAGATGTCTTAGTTTATATTTAAAACAATTTCTTTGGAAATTAAACCTTAATACTGTGGGCTAGGACACTGCTAAACACAGAACAACTGACTGGTTCAAAATTGGGAAAGGAGTACAACAGGGCTGTAAATTGTCACCCTGTTTATTTAACTCATATGCAGAGTACATCATGTGAAATGCCAGGCTGGATGAATCAAAAGCTGGAATCAACCTTGCCAGAAGACATATCAACAGCCTCAGATATGCAGATGATACCACCCTAATGGCAGAAAGTGAAGAGGAACCAAAGAGCCTCTTGATGAGGATGAAAGAAGAGACTGAAAAAGCTGGCTACAGGCTCAACATTCAAAAAACTAAGATCATGGCAACCGGTCCCGTCACTTCATGACAAATAGAGGGGGAAAAAGTGGAAGCAGTGACAGATTTTGTTTTGGGGGGCTCAAAAATCACTGTGGATAGTTATTGCAGCCATGAAATTAAAAGACTGTTGCTTCTTGGAAGGAAAGTTGTGCCCAACATAGAAGTGTTAGTCTCTTCAGTCGTGTCTGACTCTTTGTGACCCCATGGACTGTAGTCCACCAGGCTCCTCTCTCCGCGGAATTCTCCAGGCAAGGATATTAGATTGGGTTGCCATGCCCTTCTCCAGAGGATCTTCCTGACCCAGGGATCAAACCTGAGTCTGTTACTTTTCTGGCAGATTCTTTACCATCTAAGCCACCAGGAAGCACCAACCTGGAAAGTGTATTAAAAAGCAGAGACATCACTTTGCTGAAAAGGTCTGTATAGTCAAAGCTACCGTTTTTCCAGTAGTCATGTTCAGGTGGGTGTGAGAGTTGGACTACAAAGAAGGCTGAGCTCCAAAGAATTGATGCTTTTGATCTGTGGTGTTGGAGAAGACTCTTGAGAGTCCCTTGGACAGCAAGGAGATCAAACCAGTCAATCCTAAAGGAAATCAACCTTGAATATTCACTGGAAGGACTGATGCTGAAATTGAAGCTTCATTATCTTGGCCACCTGATGCAAAGAGCCAACTCATTGGAAAAAACCCTGATGCTGGGAAAGATTGGTGGCAAAAGGAGGAGAGTGTGGCAAAGGAAGAGTTGACTAGAAAGCATCACTTACTCAATGGACATGAGTTTGAGCAAACTCCAGGAGATAGAGAAGGACAGGGAAGCCTGGCATGTCACAGTCCATGGGGGTGCAAAGAGTTGGACATGTCTTAGCTACTGAAAAACAACATTGTATAACTAAAATGATTTCTTTGTAAATGGAAGCTTAATGCTGTGGGCTAGGTCACTGCTAAATATAATTCAAGGCTGAAGCATCCTGCTTGCATTCTGCATTTTATTCAATGGCAGCATTCACTGATGGCTGTACCATTGGATGAACCATCTAAGCTGCTAAAACAAAGACTCATAATGCAGTGAGAGTTAATTTTTTTCTTATGTCCAGAAGCAGGCGATACAGAGCTGGTATATTAACCCTGTTATGGTTAACATATAGCTTCCATTTCTGTGTCCATGTTGGTTATAACAACTCTCCTCCAGACAGGGGAAGGGAAAAAGAGGAAATGGAAGGCATTTCCTTTCTAGTTAAGAATAAAACCTACAAGTTATATATATCACTCATGGCCCGCATATCAATAGTGAGAACTTAGGCACAAAGCCACACATAGTTGCAATGGAGGTCAGAAATTGTCATTTGTAGTTGGAAGGTCTTGAGCCCATTGAAACTTTGGGTTGGGGGGTTTGCTATCAGAAAAAAGAAGCAAATGGAATGGATTGATGGCTAGCTGTCTTTGCAACAATGGCTTACTTGGGATTGTTGGTTGGTTTTCTGCGTATGGGGTTGGATTTTACTGGGGCCATCTGTGCTGGAAATGAAACTCCTTGAAAGGGTCAATAAAAGAGAGTGTATTACACTGATTTCCTGGTAAACGGATCAGGAAATAATAGAACTTCAGTGTCGAAAACAATCTCAATCACCACGTAGTCCAACCGCTCACCTGAGAAGCTCAACAGAAGCACCTCTCTTTTAGACATGTCCAATATTCCATGTAAAAACTAAGGACTTTATCCAAAGCCACAGAATTGTTGGTGACAGTCAAGACTAGAATCTAGAGAAACTGGCAAGTTTAATTTTCCTTCTACTGCCCCTGAAAGGACTTTTCTGACCTTGGTTTCTATCATGCCATGGGCAGAGAAGAGATATTTGTGTTTATTATAAGCTGTAACAATCTATGTATTTTCAGAGAACTGTGACATGCTCTCGAATAATTGAGCTAGTATATTGAATTGTAATGCCTCCTTTCAGTTATTGAAACAGTGGAGTCTTGTTAGAGCACAGTTCGTGATTACACATCTTTGGATGACCATACAAGTTAGTGAAAAGGGTATTGAAGTGGAGTTCAATGACAGGACCTAGTCTTGGATATCTACTGTCTATATGACTCTGATGAAATCATTTAATGTCTTTGAGATCTGACTTATTCTTAATATAGGACTACAATTGAACTAGATGGTACATTACTTGACCACTGGCATAACACAGGTTCTGACCAATCAGAACAAATACCAGTCATGAAAAACTCACTTAGGGAAACTGGTGCAATCTAGGAAAGCATCAGCCAGCTTTTAGTTCTATTAATTTTTTCTTGAAATGGAATGGTACACTGTAAAAGCTGCCACATTAACCTGCATCCTTAGTATTTATTTACACCATCCTTTGGTATTTATGTGATAGAAGAGTATATTGAAATTTCTGCCTAATGACTGGATGTTATTTTTAGGACTCAAATTTAAAATAAAATTTTAAAAGTAACAAATTTCTGTTAAAATTGTTCTGGAACAATGAGCAAGTATCATCTGATTAAAAGAGTTTCCCAGGTCACCTGTAAAATAAAGTATAAAAGGATGTAGAGACTGGGTTCTAAAAGGACAAGAAGTCCATTTGGCTATAAAAGGATAGAGTTTACTTCAGAAACCTGTTACATTTCATTATTTTTCTAAAGATTTCAGCTTCAAAGAGAGGACAATCGTGGGCCTTTAGGTGAGCCTGAAAATAATCTTTAGTAAGGTAGAGATAAACATCGCAATGAGAAGAGAATCCACTTAGGATAAATTACATAGAATAATTCTAAATTATGGCCTTGAAATTCCCACTTTACTTAAAGGAATGAGATAAGGCAAAACACTCCAGTTAATGGAACAGGAGCTACTAATTTCCTGAAAAAGACAAAAGGAGGGGAGTGTATCACCCTTACATGGAACGAACAATTTTCCTCAGTCTCCACACAGATAATAAGACACTGTGTCCAGGAAGAAAGTGATAGGAGAGGCAACCTCAGATCAAAATAAAGACAAAGCAAAGCCAAACAAAGACTCTTCTCAATTCCAAAGGTGAGTTCACCTTCCTGGCTTTCAGCTGTAAGACCCCATGACCACAAGGTTGAGCCTGTTCACTGATCCTCTGTTTGCCTGTGTATATGTATGCACACATTCTAATCATTTGTAAATAGCGTTTTCTATAGGGTATTTTCGGGGAAGGCAATGGTAACCCCCTGCAGTACTCTTGTCTGGAAAATCCCATGGACGGAGGAACCTGGTAGGCTGCAGTCCACGGGGTCGCAAAGAGTCGGACTCGACTGAGCGACTTCACTTTCGCTTTTCACTTTCATGCATTGGAGAAGGAAATGGCAGCCCACTCTAGTGTTCTTGCCTGGAGAATCCCGGGGACAGGGGAGCCTGGTGGGCTGCCGTCTATGGGGTCACACAGAGATGGATATAACTGAAGCGACTTAGCAGCAGCAGCAGCATAGGGTATTTTTCTCCTGACTCCTGAAAAAGCAGTGCCTCTCTTCCATGAACATGGAACTATCATCACCATCTCATCTCATCTTATTTACTCGTGGACTTTGGACAGAAGAGCACTGGCTTTTCCAGAACTGAGAAGAAGCATTCTTCTATGATATGAAAGCATTAAAGATCAGGTGATCTGCAGAGCTGGGGAAGGTGCTCAATTCCCAGAATCCCACTGATTAGGGTGGTTTTCCTGGGAGACGGGGCCCTGGTCGCCCCAGCTCACCTTCTGGCCTTCCTAGCAATCCTAGCACCACCCCTACCCCTTTTTCAAGGCTCTACCTAACCTGTGCGTCTGTGGCCTGTGGAAGAAGAGGAATGTTTGTATTGGGCAAGGAAAGAGAGATGAAGCTCTACCATGACCTCTGGCAGCACTTTACAGATCTTTCTTTTAGAACATCTATGAAAGAGTCTCTCAGTTCCTCCACTAATAGGCCTGATTTCCTGAGAATTTCCCCCTCTGGCCTGGATAAAGAAAACAGGAGAAAGAAGGGATTTTTGTTACTATGTTTCCAGGGTATCTGGCCTTGTTCATCTAGGCTTCCTGAACCTACCATCTCCTCTCCCCATATCTTTTGAATGCACGTGTAGATAAGTGGGGTCTTGTGTTTCCCTTACAATTCTTTTGGGATGGAATGTACTCTCTCTCTCTCTCTCTCTCTCTCTCTCTCTCGTGCTCTTCCTCTCTCTCTCCCTCCCTCCCTCTTTCTTCCTTCTTCTCCTTCTGTGTTTTCTGCAGTTTTTTTTTCTTCTCACAGATTTTTCTTTGTATTTCTCTTGCAAGTGCCACTGGGAAAAAGTCTTGATTGTCTTGTTGAGTTCCTTCCACATTTCGGAACAATCTTGGGAAGCTGTGTTTTAGTGGGGCAACTCGGGGACTTAAGCTGTCTGCAAGGCCCTCTCTCCTCCTGTTGTTGTTTTTGTTCAGTTGCTAAGTTGTGTCTGACTCTTTGAAACCCCGAGGACTGCATCACAGCGGGCCTCCCTGTCCCTCACCATCTCCGAGTTCAACAAAGTTCATATCCATTGAACTGGCGATGTCATCCAATCATCCCATTCTCTGTCGCCCTCTTCTCCTTTTGCCTTGAATCTTTCCCAGCATCAGGGTCTTTTCCAATGAGTCAGCTCTTTGCATCAGGTGGCCAAAGTATTGGAGCTTCAGCTTCAGCATCAGTCCTTTCCAATGAATATTCAGGGTTTATTTCCTTTAGGATTGACTGGTTTGATCTTGCTGTCCAAGGGACTCTCAAGAGTCTTCTCTAGCACCACAAATTGAAAGCATCAATTCTTCAGCATTCAACCTTCTTTATGATCCAACTCTCATAGCCATCTGTATATGACTCCTAGAAAGACCATAGCTTTGACTATAAGGATCTCCTCCAGAATGGACCTCAAATTCCACAATGAAGATGGCTTTGGGTCTTTTCTCCAGATTACTCTAAAACTGTGTGGTTTCTTAGTAGACTAAGTCCATATTGTTAGAAATGGGTTGATATTATTAGCCTGACATTTAGGAGGTGGTAGGATAACAGCTGGGCTTCTCTGGAGGTTCAGATGATAAAGAATCTGCCTGCCATGCAGGATACCCGGCTTCCCTCTTGATTGCACCTACTACATGTTAAGGGCAGGATTTTTGCCCACTGGTCTGAGCATTTTGTCTAATTTAACTCTCATTACAAGTCTATGGACTAGCTATACTTTCAAGTGACTGGTGAAAAACTGTGACTTTTAGGGGTTAAATAACTCACTTAAGGATACCCACCTGGTAAGTTGCCCAGCAGGGAGGTGGACTCTGCTTCCCTGTGGCAGGCTGATCCCAGAACTTTCAGGCTGAAGCATCAGGTGCCCTGCCTCCTCCAGCAGCATATACAGGGCAAGCATTTCCTTTGGTATCTCAAAGCAGAGGGTCAAATGAGATAGCCATACCTTTCACATTGACACAAGAATTAAAATAGCTGTGCTGTGATCAAAGGGAAGAAGTTAGTGTTTCTTCAAGACCAGCTACTGAGTAGATTAAGTGTTTGTGTGGTGAATTTATTTGCAGTGTGTATGTATGTCTGTAGTGTGTGTTTGCAAGTGTTGCATGTTCAGGTTTATTATGAGAACAGGTGTGTGGAAAGGATGGTGTGTGTAATTTGTATGTATATGCATTTGTCTATAGTATGTGTATACATTATGTGTTTGTGTAGTCTGCATATGCACGTGCTGTGTATGCCTGTGAGGGGGTATGTGTATATGATGTGTGTGGTATATATGTGGGTATTTGCAGACATGGGAGTGTTTGTATATGTATGTGGTATCTCTTGGTGTGTATGTGTGTATGATATATTTGTATGTGGCATGTGTGTGTTGTGTGCATTGAGTGTGTGATGTATGTGTATGTGTGTGGTGGCATGCACACATTATAGCCGTGCATAGGTGACAGAGGGGGGTGGTGTGTGGTACAACTACAGGTAGCCTTTTATCCTTTAGTTGTCCCAGGTTCACTGACATGTTATTCAAAACCACTGTCGCAATTAGTTCTATCTTGAAATGAGGTAAATAAGGTTGTATCCTAGAAATAACAGCTCCTTCTTTCTTGGCTCTCCCAAAGTCATGAAAGGTTTTGGGCAGAAACATCTAACCAGTTCATTCTAACAGGCCTCCTTGGCTGGGATCCTCCAGGGAGCTGGTCTATGTTGGAAAGAAGTTGAGGGAGGGAAGGCCACTTTAGAAATGCTAAAAAAAAAATCATAGAGTTACTCACTGGTTTATAGATGTATTTCATTGCCAGTCAGAGACAGCATTAGATTTGTACTGGCAATAGCCCTTCTTCCAAGTGGACTAACACTTTGGGTTGATTTTGTTTGGCTCACACTGGGCCTTCAAAATTGGCCGGGGTCACATTTCTCAATCTGGAAATAAACTTGTCCACCCGCAAGAGGCATGACCAAGAATCCCTCACAGCCTCCTTAGAAGCTCCCTCATCTTAATATCTAAAAATAAAAATCAGACCTCTGGCAGTTAAAAACTCCACCTTCCATTTCTTAAGATCACTTTTTTATTAGGCTTCTGAAAAATGAACCTGTCATGGATCCAAGGTGCAGAGAGAGAGAGCGTGAACGCAAATACCACTTGCTGAATGCCCTTGCTGCTTGTCCCTACATGCACTCTAGTCAAAGAGTTGGCCTCAAACGCAATTTTGAAACTTAAACAACAAACCTTTTCTCAGAATTCTCTGGCAGAGAAGCTGAGGTAGCTCCAGTGAGCAGTGCACCAAATCCTAATTACTCCCTCAGGAGCCGGTCATTAGGTGAAAACCTGCAGAGCGTTCCATCTCCTGCACGAAGCAGATGTGAACATATTTCTCCTTTTGTTGTTTCCTGCCGTTTGGAGAGGTTGCTGTTTTGTCACACGCTCAGCAGAGGAGCAGAGGACAGCAAAGTGCATTTCAGTTACTTGGACAGGTTTTGTAAGCAACCAAAAGATGCGGCTGTTTCGAAAGGCTTTCTTCTTCGGTGTCGCTGCATTGTGAGGTCGCCTGACCTTCTCATGACTTGGAGCCGCTCATCTGTGGTTGTTCAAAAGGGCTTCAGGGGCCATATCAGGTGTGTGGGAGCTCAACGGTCAGGGCTGGGCATCTACCCCTTCAAATTTCCAGTGTTTTCAGTTCCACTCAAAATATACTTTGTTATGCTAGGATTTTATATAGCATTTAATTCAAGGATAAAGGTAGATAAACCAACTTCACTATAACCATCAACGTTTATAGTGAGCATTGCACAATGAGTAAGACTCTGTGAGTGTTGCATGGTGACTTGGGGATTGCCTCAAACGTAAGAAGGACCAGTGGTCAACTCGTAAAATATTATTAACAGTCACCTGACCCAGGATCATCAGCCATTGATTTACAAGAGAAATCTCTGATTCAAAATCTCTTCACTTCCTCAATTCTTCCCTATCAGAAAACATGAGTAACTCACGATGAACTGAATAGACATGCAAGAGGTAGACAATGAGAAATCTTATAAGGCAGGTTAAAAGGATGAACTTAATCTTCAAAGTTATAAAGTTCCAGAGATGCAGCTCAACCGGTTTGAGTTTTAGGAAGATCATTGTGACTGATGGGTGGGAAATTAATTGAAGAGCAGCAAGAATGGAGATGGAGAGACCAAATATAATACCAGTGCTTTTTTCTTTTCTCTCCATTTTTAATTAAAAAAAAAAAAAAGGTTATCACTATGATGGATGACAAGAGTACATTAGAATAGTGCCAGGAGAGTGCTTGTGAAAGAAAGTTATTTATTCATTCAGTGATTCAATTTATTTATTCAACACATATTTGATGCCTACTATATGTCTGGCAGGGAGAAGGCAATGGCACCCCACTCTAGTACTCTTGCCTGGAAAATCCCATGGACAGAGGAGCCTGGTGGGCTGCAGTCCATGGGGCTGCTGAGTGGGAAATGACTGAGCAACTTCACTTTCACTTTTCACTTTCATGCACTGGAGAAGGAAATGGCAACCCACTCTAGTGTTCTTGCCTGGAGAATCCCAGGGACGGGGGAGCCTAATGGGCTCCCATCTATGGGGTCGCACAGAGTCGGACATAACTGAAGTGACTCAGCAGCAGCAGCAGCATATGTCTGGCATTTTTCTAGGCATTAGGATAAAAAGCTATTGACCTCAGGGAGTTTGTGGTCTAGATTGGAGGAGACAGAGAATAAACAAATAAGTTAAATGTATATTATGTTAGATGGTAGTATTGACTAAAAAGAAAGGTGATATGGGGCATGCAAAGAGTGGGGAGGTTGGAATTCTTTAAAAGGTTATGATGGCCATTAAAAGCTCAGGAAGGTAAAATTTCAGCAAAGATCCAGTAGAGGTGAGGTGTAAAGAGGTGATTTTTGTGATTATACACAAAAGGCCATTCCAGGCAGTGGGAACCACAGGATCATAGACCGCAAGAGAATGTCACACTGCAATGTTCAAGGAAGAGCAAAGAGGCCAGTAAGGCTGTTAACTACAGAACCAAGGGGGAAAGGAGTAGGAGATGAGCTTGAGCATCCTAGGAGAGGATGGGAACGGGGCGCACAACAAAGGAAGCATTTTGGCTTTACTCCGAGTGAGCTGGATGTTTTTCTCTTTTTTTGCCATACCACATGGCATGTGGAACTTCCCTGCCCTGGAATCCAACCCATTACCCCTGAATTTGGAGGGTGGAGTCTGAATCACTGGACCACCAGGGATGTCCCTGAATGAGCTTATTGGAGGGTTTTGGAAGTTGGAAGTTGTTGGAGGGTTTTAAACGGAGGGAGAGACATGATCTAACTTATGATTTCACAGGGTCTTTCTAGCTGCTGTGCTGAGTATAGATTTTGGAGGGCAAGAGTAAGTCGGGGAGATCCTTTAGGAGGCAATGATAGTTCACTTGGTAAAGAACCCACCTGCAATGCAGAAGACCCCAGTTCAATTTCTGGGTTGGGAAGATCCACTAGAGAAGGGATAGGCTACCCACTCCAGTATTCTGGGGCTTCCCTGTGGCCCAGCTGGTGAAGAATCCACCTGCAATGCAGGAGACCTGAGTTCGATCCCTGGGTTGGGAAAATCTCCCGGAGAAGGGAAAGACTACCCACTCCAGTATTCTGGCCTGGAGAATTCCATAGTCCATGGGGTTGCAGAGAGTCGGATATGACTGAGTGACTTTCATTTTCACTTTTCACTGCCACAATACAGTGAAGACATGGTGGTGTGTTGGATCAGAGAAAATGAGAAACCCAAGTAGGATTCTGGATGTATGTTAAAGGGAGAGTTGCCAGCATGCACTACAGGATTGGATTTAGGGTATGAGAGGAAAGAGAAGTCAGAAATGAAAGAACAGAGTTGTCATTAACTGAGACAGGGTAGATGCAGGGTGGATGGGGTGATATTTCTGTATAAGAAATACAGTTGGAGACATGCTAAGTTTTAGATGCCTATCACACAAGAAGGCATTGGGTTACCTGACGAGTATACCAAAGGGGTCTGAGCTGGACTTAGAAATTTGTGAAATCTCTGCACATAGGTGATTTTTTAAGCCACAAACTAGCTGCGGTCACTAGGGAGAGGATGCAGCTTAGCGAAGAGGTGACAGTGAACCTAAGGAATGATCTTCTGTAACTTACATCTAAATCCTTTGATACCTCCCAGAAATCCTTTATCAGGAGTTTCATAAAATTATTTCTTCATGTTTTCATCTTCCTATAATTAATTCTTGTTCCAACACAGCAGTTTTATTTTCTACTGATTCAAAATATAAATTAATATTATTTTCTACATATTTGGTTTAATAGAATTCACAGGTAACCTAGGAAGCTAATTCATGCTTTTCAGCAATGTTTCTATGGGAACATATATTCTGAACTTCAAATAAGTGTCTTTCAAATTACCTCTGGAATTTATCCAGTTTTAATCTGGAAATTGCCTGTCATTCCAATGCAGAGAAGAATATACATTTTTATCAAGTTTTATATAGTTCCATCTGATCAAATGTCCTTTATATTCATCAATAATACTTATAATACAAACAAAATATTTCTTTGAATTTTAATATTATAATTGCTATTAATATTGTTGTTATCAAGTTTTTTCATTTTATTTTCCTTTTTATTGCCCTTTGTCTGATGTCCATTAAGTACTTTCTACTTTTACCAATAGAATAATTTCTATTTTAAGTGATGACTAGTAATTATAACATGTAATGGAAATATATCCACTTCCTTCCCTTATATGCCTCAAGTTAATGCCAGATCAGACTTGATTGGTGCAATCTCGGAGGTGATGACTCCATTTCCTCTCCTGTCATTGGTTCCAGGCTGCAATGACTGTGAGGAATAGGAAAAGGATGAATAGCCATTGAGGTGGTGGAAATTCAGTGAAGCAGCAATAGAATCTGTTTCTTATTCTCTGTTCAATCTTCTGGAACCCCTCAAAGACACCGCATCATTTCCTGTGGCTGAGCCTTTTTACACAAGGACTAGATTGAATCGTTCCCTAGTTTCTGTAGGGAAACCATTTTGTTTCTACAGCTTTTCTTCATGCTGTGTTTCAGGGATTCCTTTTCTGATTGCTCTTGTGACATTTTGCATGGAATGGCCAAACTAATCAAGAGGATCTCACAGATCAGCTTTTTCTTGTTAATCAGAAGCATATTTTACCCTTATACTATTAAAATTAATCTCTTTGAAAAACACTGTTTCAGTATTTATGCGGCATGTCTCCAAATCATATCCTTTCAGTTACACCATTAAATGAGTCAATCTTTGGATAGGGGGAAATGTCATCAATTTCACCAGAGGATTTCACAATCTCTTTCATTTGTTTCAGTCCAACAGTTTTCCTCCTGACTGGGGAAAATGATCACTAGGTCCTGCAGTAAAATTCTTTGGCTTTATTGAACTGGAAAGCTTTGATTTCTATTTGCACTTCTAGTTCACGTTTTTGTTTTTGTTTTTTTTGCCATTACTCTTTTATATCTTCTGAAGTAATTGGAAAATATTGTACGAAGGTATTATTCTTTTGTAAGAGAAAAAGAACATGACAAAGCATTTGGAGATCTGGAATGTAGCCCCATAGGTCAATGAACAAATACCCTCTTTACGTTTCAGTTTAACAGGGGTTTGCTTTGCCTTCTCTACTCCCATTGCGTTGTAGGTTATGCGAGATGATTCAGTCTCAGATTTGGAGAAGCCTTAAGGGGGACTTTATTGTAATTTCTACAGTAAGATCCCCTTTCGGATATCTTTCATT